GGTTTGTGCATTTTAGGTACAAATCTGTACGTGAGGAGGTTAGTGATAAAGTTCATAAATAAATTTTTAATATGTATTGTGAAAATAAAACAAATTACTGCAGATTGTATAGCTATAACTGTAAGAACTTTAAGACATCGATTAACGATGTTCGGAATTTATGTAGAAAGGGTAGTATAGTGTGTCTACAGGAGACTTGGCTTCTTAGTCATGATATTCCGTTATTAGGGACTGTTTCTGACGAGTTTGAGTACACCGGTAAGTCTGCTGTGGACACTTCCTCTGGTATTCTAAGGGGGAGACCATACGGTGGAGTAGCTATTCTCTGGAAGAAGGGCTTGTTCGACTGTGTATCGGTTATAGAATGTTCTAGTAAGCGGCTAGCTGCCATCAAGGGTGTAGTAGGGGATAGATCCATCTTGGTATTTTCTGTTTATATGCCGACTAAGTCGGATAAAAACTTACTTATTTTTACAGAAATACTTAGTGAAATAAGTGCAATTGAAGCTAGTAACAACGTGGAGAATATGTATATATTAGGAAATTATAATCCCGAAGAACTTTTCTACACCGAACTAAGTCGTTTCTGTACGGATCAGTCTTGGGTATGTGCAGATGTACAAATGCTAGAGTCAAATACGTATACCTTTCTAGACCAGTGTCATGGTGGCACGAGGTGGCTAGACCATTGTGTGGTCTCCATATCAGCCTGGCATACTGTCACTGATGTAGGTATAGTTGAAGATGTATGTGGATCGGATCATCTGCCTATCTACTTAGAGTGTAGTTTAGAGAATGTTAGGCCTAAACGGGTGATGCGTGACATGCAACGCAGTGCGGTTACATGGGGAAAAAGAAGTGAGTCTCAGATAAGAAAGTACCAAGAGTTATGTCATAAAGAGCTACGAGACATTGATTTTCCTCCCGAATTCGCTAGTTGCAGTCACGGGTCATGCGATAACGCCTGTCATAAAAGTTTGGTCGACAATTTCTATGAACAAATTGTAAGTACACTAAAAATGGCGGCTATTAAAACAAATTACGTAAAAATTGATAAGCCTTTGTAACGCTTCCCCCCTCTCTCATAATAATAAATATATTAAATACTAAATGTATTATATTCCCCTTTACATAATAATTTTATATATATGTGACCAAGATTAATAAAAAATGTTTTGATCTTTCTAAATGATCTTTCTAAAGGTTTAATAATAGGCTGTTTGTAATATTTTTGGCGTGATCATCTTAGTTAGGACCCTTATTTACGTTGTGTTTGTTTAGTAACTTAGTTCTTTTAGGTTTCTTTTGGAAGAATGAATATTCACTAGAGCAATTTAAAGCTGTTGGTAGTGCCTTATAAGCTAAGTGAACCCCGTTCACGAAGACAGGGCTCGAGAAAGGTTAAGAACATAAAACGTCCCTATTCCACTTGTATCAGGTGTACATTATTAATTTATTATTATTTATCCCTTCCCGCTCGGAAAAGGCTCAAAATATATTTATACAAAATACCCGATACAAGGGCTTCGCTCTCCTACATTTATTTAAAAAGTGTAGGGGAGGCACGTAGACACACGCCGTGCATGGTGAGCGCCAACCATTTTGATGCACTCCCCCCGAAGGGAAAGCTAATTCGGGAACTGGACCGTAGTCCACAGCAAAATAACTGGCGAACCAGTAAAAGAGGCTTGGCTCCTTGTTAGTGCGTATGCACAAACATCGACCGAAGTCGCGCAAGTCAATGCGTGTAAACGCCATACAGAATACGAACGAATCCAGCCACAGTGAATGTACGTCACACGGTTTAGGCAAATAGGCACACTGGCCGTAAACCCTCCGTGAGCGCCACCACCTGCCAGACCGCCGCTCCTGCAGACGTGATGTAAGTGTATGGCATCACCACCAATTGCACGATCAGCACGGCTACTAGCCGCAGAGCGTGTCATGAGTCTACCGCTCATCTCAAGGGAATGGGGTCCCACGTTGTGCGGCCTTCGGCCGCAGTCTTGAGAGTCTCCTCAGATCCTCCCGCCAGCTACCACCCGCATGAGGTCGACACATATGCTCCATCAACCAATACAACGGCAGATATAGCCAAAAGGCAGTTATAAGATAAGAGTAATAATTCACCATCAGAAAGGGTTTGTATCACTGACGTTGAGTAAATGCATTTTCGATCATGTTTGTCTCGCCCACCAACAAGTTGCCTTCAATCATTCAAAGCTGGGAAAGTTACAGAGATATATTATTATGTTGTTATATAAAACATCATGGAGGGCAGACAGTCTGCAGCCCCGTAATGAAGGGACCCGAGTTGGGCAAAGCTACTTAGGTGTGAGTCAAACCAAGACGCAAAGAGCGTCATTGAGAATAGCGTCCCACCAAACAACCATCGCAGAGACGCAATGCTGCAGAACGCAACAAGCATCAATACGACTATCGTCGGCTTACACCATCCCAAGGTCCCCCATACAACCCAGCAGACATCACCACCCGCATACCTCCATCGACCAGAACCACAAGAGTGCGTCGAATCAGGCGCAACACACCCGCAGATCCATCACAAGACGCAATACCGCAAGTAGCAGTAAGCATCAATGCAAATATTGTACGGATGGCGCCCCCGCACAACACACCCACATGACCCCTATCGATTTTGGTAACAAAGTTTTTATTGTTGTTATATGAAAAATATCACCAACGTATCATAGTAGCACGCTACTAAGACGCCAATGAACAAAACTCCACATATCATAGCGCTGATGCACTAAGACATGAAGTTGAGTATGCCTGTTACACTTAAAAGTGCTACCAAACACCCTCATCATCCCAATCCGAAAGATAGACGACGCATCGCTATGCGCTACGACGTCGCCCCCAAACGGTATGGGTGTGCGATGTCCACGGGAAAGCCGTATTGCTACAATAAACCCGCTTACCACCGGCACTAAGATGTTAATTGTATACCTCCATCGACCAAAACCACAGGAATGCGTCGAATCAGGCGCAGCACACCCGCAAATTCATCACGAGGCGCAATACCGCAAGTAGCAGTAAGCATCAATGCAACTATCATACGCATAGCGCCCCCTCACAACACACCCACATGACCCCTATCGATTTTGGTAACAAAGTTTTTATTGTTGTTATATGAAAAATATCACCAACTTATCATAGTAGCACGCTACTAAGACGCCAATGAACAAAACTCCACGTATGATAGCGCTAATGCACTAAGACATGAAATTGAGTATGCCTGTTACACTTAAAAGTGCTACCAAACATACTCATCCCAATCCGAAAGATAGACGACGCATCGCTATGCGCTACGACGTCGCCCACAAACGGTATGGGTGTGCGATGTCCACGGGAAAGCCGTATTGCTACAACAAACCCGCTTGCCACCAGCTCTAAGATGATATGTTTAGGACACATCGGTTAGCGAGTCCAAGTTTACCTCGGACCAATTGCTCGTGAAGCAGCACACACGCCACCATAATATTCCTTTTCAAGTCGCTAATAAGGACTAGTCATTTTGCTACAGTACTAGGAGCAGTCGGTCACCCGACCACCCCATACGATGCTTATGCATCAAGGAGACCTTCAATAATATTGCTTTTGTATCATAGACCTTACTTCCATAAGTCATTCATATATAGGGTTCGAACCCACGACCCTACTATTGTAATGCATATTAATCATAGAGACCTTCTATAGTATTGCTTTTGTATCATAGACCTTACTTTCATAAGTCATTAATATATAGGGTTCGAACCAATGACCCTACTACTGTAATGCATATTCATCATAGAGACCTTCTATAGTATTGCTTTTGTATCATAGACCTTACTTTCATAAGTCATTAATATATAGGGTTCGAAACCACGACCTTACTATTGTAATGCATATTAATCATAGAGACCTTCTATAGTATTGCTTTTGTATCATAGACGTTACTTTCATAAGTCATTAATAAATAAGGGTACGAACCCACGACCCTACTATTGTAATGCATATTAATCATAGAGACCTTCTATAGTATTGCTTTTATATCACAGACCTTACTTTCATAAGTCATTAATATATAAGACTTCAACCCACGACCCCACTATTGTAATGCAAATTCATCATGGAGACCTTCTATAATATTGCTTTTGTATCATAGACCTTACTTTCACAAGTCATGCATATATAGGATTCAAACCCACGACCCTACTATTGTAATGCAAATTCATCAAGAAGTAACTGATGCTGTTTACACAGAGACCATCAATGAAACAGCCGACACTGGTGTTGCCAAGCCTAACAATCAGCTCGTCTATATACAAATTAAAAAGCGTCGGGGAGGTCAAACCACCCTGCCTCACCCCACACTCCAATCCGTACGCATCAGAAAGCTGATCCAACCATTTGACTTGGTTAGTCTGGTGGCCATACCAATATTTAAGAATATTTATAATCTCACCAGGAACTCCTGAATTTTGTAGTTTTTTCCACAGGATGTCATACCTAACCAAGTCAAACGCCCTGGACAAGTCAAGAAAAGCCGCGTAAACCGGAGTCTTCCTATCCATATAATACCTGACAGTATGCTTGAGAGCCAGAATGGCGCACTCGGTTGACAGTTTTGGCCTGAAACCGAATTGAGCGTCGTGCAGAACCAGGTGACGCTTGAGCTGTCTCTCAACCAGACCGTCAAGTACTTTTGCTGTGATTGTAGCTAATGAAATCGGCCGATAGTTGGTCTTATCGGATATATCTCCAGTTTTATTCTTAACAATAGGAACAACGACCGATCTCATCAACTCTGCAGGCAGGTATGAGTGTCTGATACAGAAAGTAAATAGCATACCTAGTAACCTCGGGAGATGCGGCCCAGCATACATGAAGTGCTCAATGCTGAGGCCGTCATGACCCGGTGACTTGCCTCTTTTCATACCTTTAATTAACTGTTCAACCTCTTTAGCTGTCACACGTTTTGGCACACCAGATACGATTACCTCAACATCAGCACCCCGTGCATTTAGCTGCGACTGCACCCTAAAATGAGAACTGAACAAGTTAGCTATATCTCTGGGGTCTTGAATACCCTCAACGCTAATCGGTACGCTAGGCTTCGGACTTAATTTCCTGGTGTGTTTCCAGAAGCTTCGAAAATCTTTATCTTTGTGATAGGTAGCTAAAATATTAATTTTAATTAATTCTTGATTTTTTTGACAGAATTTTAATTTTTCCTTAAAATTTTTCCTAGACCTATACATATCCTCATAAATACGACCTTGTGAGGGTCGTCCGTACCATACCCAAGTCAAAAATGCTTGCCTAGCGTCCTGGTGAGCGTCACGTACATATTTATTCCACCCGGCAATGGGTCGACCACCCCTCTTATTGCCTCCCCCCTGACTGTAATTAAAACTAATCTCCGCGGCCTCTTGGAGTGATAAGATTATATTATTGTAAAATTTGTCAATTACGTTAATGTGCTCTAGGCTCAAATCATTACAAGTTGAATCACAACACTTCTCAAGCTCATGGGGAAAGTCAATTAATTTTAATTTTTCGTTACAAACTCTAGTAAAGATTTTTGTTTGTTGCTCATCACGTTCCCCCCAGATTACTTTATTTAAAGTAGCCTGCGGCAGCCCCGTCGACTGTGTCAAAGTTTTAATATTGCACTGAATTTCTAGTGGAAAATGGTCTGACCATAATACATCATAATGCACCTTAACGTCAGTAACGGAACTACGGGCGGCCTCAGTGATCAAACAGTGGTCGAGCCAGCGCCGACTGCCATTAATTTCACTAATATATGTGTATGTGCTAGAACTATGACCTAACGTTTTTAGATCTATGCACTCCCAGTTTTGATCGTTACAAAAATTTATTAGTTCTTTACAAAAAAGCGCCCCTGGGTGTGCATTAAAATCTCCTAAAACAAATACAGTTTCAATGTTATTGTTCTCTACTATAGCCGCTATTTCGCCTAAGCATTCTACATACTCTACAAAATTTTCAGGCGAATTAGTAGGCATATAAACTGAAAAAACTAGCATTGAACGACTCATAACACAAAGTTTAATTGCAACTATACGATCACTCGCGCATGGTATCACAGACACACACTCAAATTTTGAGCTATTCCATAAAAGAGCCACCCCACCATATGGTCTTCCTCGCAATAGTCCTGATGACGTATCAACCGCTGACTTGCCAAAGTATCCGAAAGCTTTGTTTACATTGCTCAGTTCCTGAATTTCATGGGGTAACAGCCATGTCTCCTGTAGCGCAATAATATCAGCTCTTTGACTCATTGATCTGACGCAATCCATTGATCTTTTGAGAGATTTACAATTGAATGAAATAAAAGTTGTACCTTCCATACTATTTATAATTTATTTGTACCGCTGAGTAATGGAGTCCCTCTATTTACTTCCCTTTTGTGAAAGTCAACAAAGCGGCGGAAGGAAATTCCGTCTGGCCACAAGTTACAATTTAAGAATAAGTTTAACTTATGCTTAGGAACAAACACCTTGTATGAACTGTAGTCCCTTTGCTGCTTTGTTTTTATTTTTTGTAAACTTACTTGAATATTAGTTTTATTCTTTATGTAACTAATGATGTCATTTTCACATGTATCTATGTGTACATTATTTATAAAAAGAGGTATTTTAATATCTGCTACACGAAACTTTTGCTCTGCATCTATACATGTGCCCTTTTCACTTAAAAAGCGGTTTCTGTACCTTTTTCTCTGAACAATTTTCCATTCTTCATTCTGCTCCTTGTCTTTCCAATGTTTATTATTACTTCGTACTATTTCCGCCATACTAACGCATAAATTATTATTCTCATTCGGTAAGTTGTCGACATTACAGCTTGAAGCGTCTATCACACGTTCGCAGTCAAACTTGTTTTGCGAGGCCCGCACCGCACTTTCGGCGCAGGCGGAAACCGCAGTAGCCGCCTCCACGGGCAAAAAACACTGCGGAGGTGGCGCGGAGACAGTTAATGCATTGGCCGGAGCGCATGACAGAGACGGCGAGCGCTGTTTTTGAAGTTGAACAGGTTCCGAAGCACATACCATGTTATTAGTCAAGGTCGAAATCTTTGCGCCGTTGTTAGAGGTCGTTGAATCTTGTGTTAAATGAATTATTCCTATCGGACCGCTATCACAATCAAAATTATCCAACAAATTGGCAGCGCCCCGCTTATTCTTAACAAGATTTGTACCCTCAAAATTGTTCACTAAAGTGTAATTTTTCAAAATATGTACTTCTTTTTGGAGCTGCAAAAACTTTTCCATATTTACGTAATTGTCCTTAAAACTCTCAAATTCATTTCGCATTATTATTAGGTCTTTTAACAATCGAGTTACATCGATGTGATCGAATGTCACCGGGGGGAAGTTTCTGCAGGTCACGTGCAACAAAAATTGGCAGGTCCTCTGGATCGACCTCTTTTATTGTAGTAATTATATCTTCTAGTTCACGTAAAGTTTTACCTTCCCGCTTGCGAGTAACGATTTTCTTCTTTATTTTAAGGGAGTTATAAAGAAGATTCTTTGCTGTACATATTTCTTCCATTCCAAATTAACTTCTAAAAAAAATATTAAAATGTTCTGGAAACTCGTAAGAACTGCCAGGGGATGTTCAAAACAGCCTATAATGAATGCTATAAGAGATGAGAATGGCTATATTCTGAATGATGAAGTTTTGAGTTTAAAGAGATGGAAGGAATATTTCGAAAGCATGTTTATGAGTGAGGAGACAACGTATGAACTGAATGAAATAGGAACTCCGAAAGAAGAGGAAGAAGGTAGAGAGATAAGTATAGATGAAATAATGAAAGCAATGAAAAGCATGAAAGCAGGTAAGGCTGCCGGATATGATAGAGTTTCACTCGAAATGCTAAGGGCTGGAGAGGAAGTGGTGGCAGGCCTGCTGCACACCTTGTTTAATTTATGCTGGGAACTGAAGCGGGTACCGGGAGACTGGTGCAAAGCCGTGATAGTCCCAGTATATAAGGGAAAAGGGTCGCAGCAGGACTGTAAAAACTACCGCGGTATCAGCCTTCTTAGCATCGTGGGAAAACTGTATGCCAAGGTACTAATTGAAAGGGTCGTGAAAGAAACCGATGAAAAAATTTGGGATGTGCAAGCGGGATTTAGAAAGGGAATGGGATGTACAGATCAAGTCTTCTCCATGCGCATGATCGCGGAGAAGTTTTTGGCCAAAAACCAAAAGGTTTTTTGTGCGTTCATGGACTTGGAGAAGGTCTATGACAGAGTGGAAAGGAATGTGCTATGGCAAACACTGAACTCATTTGGGTTGAGCGCTGGTTTGATACAGGCATTGGAATCTCTTTATAGGGACTCTAGTGCTTGTGTTAGGATCAACGGGGTCTACTCGGACTGGTTTGGCATCCATAAAGTTGTCAGACAGGGCTGTGTGGCTTCCCCGTGGTTGTTCAACCTATTTATGGACAGTTGTTTGCAAAATTTGAAAGTTGAAGAATGCGGATTAAGAATGGGTGAGTTAACCATCAAATGACTTTTGTACGCCGATGATCAAGTTATTCTTGCGTCGTCGGCGGCTGAGTTGCAAATGATGGTTACATTAATGAACAGATCATTAAAAGAAAGGGGTATGAAAGTGAACGCAAGTAAGACAAAAATTATGGTTTTTGAAAGAGATGAAAGTAAAACGATATGTGAAATAGGAATAGAAGGGGAGTTGATCGAGCAAGTAGATGAGTTTGTATATTTGGGCTGTGTATTTAGCAGGGATGGGAGATATGATAAGGATATAGAACGACGAGTGAACGCAGGAAACAGAGTAAATAGAGCCCTGCACTCTATTGTGAAGAGTCAAAATGTGTCAAAGAAGGCACGTATGGCAATTCACAATGCTGTGTTGGTCCCTACTTTAACGTATGGTAGTGAAAGTTGGGTATGGCAGAAGAAGCACGAGAGTAGAATAAATGCAGTAGAAATGCGGTCGTTAAGGAGTATGTTAGGGCTGAATCTGAATGACAGGGTGAAAAATTGTGTGATAAGAGAAGAGTGTGGTTTGCAAGATGATGTTGTGACCAGGATTAAGAAAGGAATGCTTCGGTGGTTTGGTCATGTGGAAATAATGGATGACGAAAGAGTGACAAAGAAAATTTATGTTGCAGAAGTGAATGGCAGAGTCGGAAAGGGACGTCCTAGGCGAAAATTTATCGACCAAATTGGCGATTTATTGAAAACGGGCCAAATTAGGAGTACCCTTAACCGACGAGCATGCATGCGTAGGTGTATGGATGTGAAGGAGGCGAGAGAGGTGTGTCAGGATCGTGCCAAATGGAAGTCTGTAGTCTCTGCCTACCCCTCTGGGTGACAGGCGTGAGTGTTTATGTATGTATGTTATCACGCGAGTATTTTATAAATATGGGTCCCCTTTTATTTGGGTATTCTATTACATTTTCGTAACATTCATTTCATTTTATTGGTACATATAGTTTTTTCTATATCAAGGTGAAATGTACCTTGGGTTGTGCGCACAACCTTGAGGTCTACGTTTTTTTAAGTCACTTTTAAAGGACTCCAACAATTGTCACTGAGGAAACTAAGTTCGCACCATGATCCAACGAAGGATGTGACCTCAATGTACCATTATTAAGGGTAACAAATTTAAGACTTCTCGACTTCGACATCACTTGTACTGAAGGCATTGTTCCCTAGTACCCGTTACGCCCGATTTTATCATCCAATCATGGAAACATACCCTGCTCGAGGACTATATGTTATACCAGTGATGGACGTTCCCGTATTAAAAAAAGGTCCCGTCCGTCCGTCCCGTATTAAGTTTATTTATTTTCATTGGAAGTCTGACTGCATATCGTCCGTCTTCTTGTCTTGTTGTTGTGGTTTAATAAACAGATTCACAGTATTCTTACTCTGATGTTAGATTATGATTGGTTTCGGTTATTTCCTCCATCTTCCAAAATCGAGATAAATCGTCAAGATTAATGAGCACGTAGCAGTTGAAGGTTTTGATATTTTCCAACAGTATTCATCCCACTTTTGTCTGTTAAGCCATGGGAGCGTGTGTGGGTCCTCGTAGAATACCACTCATTACTATGTCTGCATACACTCTATTTGATACGTTAAACTGTAAATAATAGATATCATCAACAAGCCATCGAAGATTTTTTGCGGCGTTCGGAACCAATTTCAAGGAAGGAATAATTTGGATTGTGTAAATATAAGAGGTGCGTATCGTCAGATCCACCAAACCTTCCTTTGTTGGACGTCCAGTTACTGATCAGTATCCCGTTGGTGGGAACAAATAAATCAATGTTCTTTACTAACCACGTGAGTGTACCGCGATGTTTATTGTTTAGATCCTTAGGATCAGCGATAATAATCATTACATATTCAAATAAAATATCAAGAAAGTTAATTATCCTTTCCTTTCCCCTACACATAACGCGAAATATTTTATCACGCCATTGATATTCGAGAAATGATGCAGTTATCAATACTTCGAGATGATTTACCAAACATATTGCACTCACGCTACGCTCTATAAAAAAATACGTGTGGCACTCGGTGACTGCCGCGGTAAAACTATTGTATAGCTTCTTTATCAACTTATGCCATTATAATTATATATTTATTTTATTTATGCGTTATTTTTTTTTCTTTGGTATTAATTCAAGTTTTATTCGTTGATATTAATTCAAGTTACACTTTTTGAGCGTGGTGACCGATAAGAAAACATTATTTTTTCTTTTATTGAATAAATGAGAAGTTAATATTGTTTAAAATATTTTTATTATTTTACAATAGATGTAGGTTATTCACGAATTTTTATCATTGAAACTATAGGTTTATGGTAAGTAACGATTTCTTCCGACAAACGATAATTTTCTATAAAATCTGTGTTTATTAAATACTCTAAATTAACGAAAGTTGCTAGCATGACGACGACTCATATCCTCTTAAAACCTAGACTTAAAAGAAATCAGTTAGAAAGTATTTCATGCCAATTTCGAGTTCTTTTAGGTTAAAATAAAACTCAGGATTTGTTTTTTTAATATTATTATTATTAGAAAAAAAAATGGGTACACATATGTGCACTTCGGGATTTAAGGACCTAAGTTTTTGGTACTATGATAACTTTCAAAGCAGTTATTTTTCAAAATGCATAAAAACATTTGACACTTTACGCACATGGTACGGCACCGTAAAGAACATAATGGATGTCTGCATTTAGATGCGAACTTCCACATAACGAGGCAGTTGCCCCACATTGTCTAGTCAAACTTCTGGTATCGGTTGTGATACAACCAGCCGGTGTTTCTTTGCTGGAGGTCCAATGCAGACTTCTCCTATCAGTAGGGCTGGGACTGGGTACATCTGTACAGCTAGTGCTGCAGCTGGGCCTTGAACTGGTGCCAGTGCCAGTGAAATGAGGATCAATTCGCTCTCCATCGTATTTGATCAACGCTTTAGCTAAATTGATCCTATATTCCAGTAATCCCAGCTTATCCTTGCGCAGTATGTCTTCTTCCTTACAGCAGCGTGTGTACATTATCCAGCAGTTTACGACTACTAAATCTAAAAAGTGAGAAAAGACTCGAACTATGCTATCAATCTGTCACATAAATCAATACCACCCATACAAGTATTGTAATTTTTTACAACAGCTGGTTGATTGACGTAAATCTTACGTTTCTGGACCTTGCACCAACGCTTGCAAGTATCTGCAGGCGTACTCCCTACAGATGTAGAGAGCATTGTTACAGCTTTTGTATCCTTCCACTTCAAAATACATATATTTTCATCGCTTCGTACTTTCTCATCCCATTCACCTCTTACTAACTGCTTGTCTGTCTTCAATTTACTATTAACTGTTCCAATTCTATTCGTTATAACTGTCTACGTCAAATAGATCTCTTTGTTGCTTTTATTCAAATGCTCAGCCAGTTTTAAACTCGTAAAAAATCGATCAGTGTAAAGAACACATCTGCTGTCAATCGTGCGGCAAAGAATTTGATTAACGCCGCCACCCAATCCAAGACTTTGCATGATATCTAAGGGAACGGTATTCTTACCAACATAAATCTCAAAGTCCAGTACCAGGCCATCTCGATCAGCTAGCACAAAGTTTATGAGTCCAAGTGGATTAGGTTTAGACGGTACGTATTGGCAGTACTCGCATCTCCCAGAAAAGGGAATCATTTGCTCATCTATCGACATATGTTTTGACCGAGGTAATGTGTGGCACTTATTCAAGATAGGCTCGATGGCAGGTCGTATTTTCCTTAGCATATCAAGACTATTGGGGTGGTCTGAATCCGCAAAGTGTATAAAATTGCGAAGCTCAAAAAATATATCGCGAGTTATCGCATCCCTAATAATCGCCACGCATAGATCTCTATTCCAGTAGAGCTTGCCCTGTAAGTATTTCAGAGAATTTGTATTAACTGATCGAAGATCACGCTTTTGTGCCGAATACAAGTTCGTTTGCTCTGCAACTAAATCCCAAAAATCTTGCCCCAAATATTCAAAAAATGAGTACAGCGTATTTATCTCTGAAGAACCCTGGGAAATTAATTCATCATCCGCTATGTCTGGACTCCGGCTTGACATCTCTTTAGTACGCCAAAACAACCTCGGTGTACTCTGAATCACCTCTTCCGCATGTTCTTCAGATGGCACCTCGTCTTCAACTTCGTTAGTTTCCTCCGGCCGCTGAAGATCTCGAAGGTCTTCTGGAGGCAAATACTCATCGTTCAGAAAAATCAACATCACTATCATTCAATAATCTCTCTATTTCTTCCTCATTCATCGCAATGCTGAAATCTCCTACAATAAAAAAATATATATTAGATACTGAGGTACACATATGTGTAACAAAAAAACATCGAGGCAATATTAGTACAAGAAAACAAAAAAAAAAACTAGTACTTACTTTTCTACACTTTGCTCCAGATGTTTGACAGAACAGAAATACACCACTATTTCGTTAAAATCTACGTAATTTTATTTTTAAATGATTTTACAATTATAAAAGCAGGAACGATTGAAAAAAATTCCATCTGTCAAATTCAAACGAATAATTTTAAAGTTCATGATTCCGTATACGCCATCTGTGACTTTTATTTGAACCTCCTTGCTTATAGAAAGACGTTTTTGTTTGAAAAAATGTCAATAGATATCGTTATTACACCATTTTCCCTAACAAATGTAGGTGCACGTATGTGTACTTGTAGTCTTAAGAGGATATAAATCCAAAGAATATGCTTCTTGCAATAAACTATATTATTGTTTAAAATATTTTTATTGTCTTACAATACTTACATGCAACTAGTCTACACGCATACGTCTAATAGCACGCACATAAACACCGAGCGGAAATCTGCCGAACTTAAACGACGTTAGACGATGTTAGGTTTTCGGGTCTTAGGTTTTTTTCGTTACGGAATTTCTTAATTCGGTCGGCGCGCTCAAATCCTGCGATAAAAGCTATGCAATAGCTTAAAAACGTGAGAAAGAAACTTATGATTCCGATCTACTTCGATGTGCGGAAGAGTAGGTAACGATGGATCAAACTGGTCCAGCGATTTCAATGAAAATATAAAAGTATTGTGTTATTTAACAGCTTTTTGCGTTCCTCTGAAGTCTGGTAACGAATGCAACTTTCTATTGTAAAATCTCCAACGCTGCCAATTCTGTAGATCTTCGTCACTAAATTGCTCAACGTGTAAACGGCCGAATAGATGCCCGTCTATTTGCTCCCATTCAACGCCGTTAGGTGAGACAGAATGGTAGAAGTATTGAACGCAAAGCTGCTGCAAACGATCAGCCAACATGGTAAAAATTTCCTGACAAACCGCCACTCTTTTCAGTAAATCTGTGGACTTCAGCTGCAGCACTTTTTGAATATTATATGGGTGCCCTTTTGTTGGAATATTCGCTGTGCTTGTGATTTTGGAATTCCGTTTCGGCGTTTTAATGTTTTCACACTAACTGATAAATCTTTTGCCACTTCTTCGAGCATTGATTCGACAGTATCTGGGTCAGGCATTTGAGATGGACGTCCGAGCCTTCTACCTGGTAGGCGTCCTTCCATGTAAGAGTTACGGACCCTTAAAATTATACGATGATCAGGCCAAGTTTCGGGCTGAGGTGCACTTCCATCTTGTACGTGCTCTCTGTACAATCTGGCTACTTCAGAAGCGTTTCCTGACTGAAACAGTTCCTTCAAAAACTGTGCCGATTCGCACTAGACGAACTAGAAGATGAATTACAAAAACGGGTGTGAACAAGACCGTGGATTTTAAGAAGAAATGAACCTGGATCATCTGCTTAATACGGCGTCCTAGGTAGGCGGTTCAAAGCGAACGCGAGTACACGCGAATTCAATGCGATGCGGTGCAACGCGGTGGCTATGTCATACGTGCACGCGAATCGTCTCCCACAGCCGCCACCGACGACGCCGCAGTTCAGTGGGCACTGTGCATTTGTCGTGGACGGACGGAAACAAATATTATCGGAAAATTCATTTCTTAAGTATCAAATACTCAAGAAGTGGGACTAATATTGTATACTTAGAAAGACATATTTATGGGGAATTTCACCATTTTGTATGAGGAATTACGGGCTCAAACTTTGTTATTCAAGGAATATTGTCGAATGTTGCCTACAACGTTTGACTATATTGTGAAAGCCATAAAACCTGTTTTGCAATTCACCAGTACCAATTTCCAGCGACCTGTTTCTGTAGAACAACGATTGATGGTGACTTTAAAGTAAGAAAAAAGAAAAAGAAATATTTCTTACATTTATTATTATGTATCATTAGCAGTAAGAAGTATTAATTATTTCAATAATGATTAGTTTTCAATAGTTTCACAAAGAAGTGTAATATCCATGTCGAGAACCGGGTTGTGGTGGATTTAATTTTGACAGCTCCATTAGTAGAAGCTCCTGCATTTGCGTTCTAAAATGTAATTTGTTCATTGACGGTAACTGTTTTATATCAGGTAATATGGACTTGAACCAAAGAAGATCGTCATTAGTAGTATCTTCTTGATCCTGGCGAAGAATTTTCATCTTCTCTCTCTCGATGTCGAGGAATGCTTCTAGGTCATTATCTTTTCTTTTCCGTGTTTGTCTTGTGATAGCTGGCAACGAGTGTGAAGGTAAAGGCGCTTGACGTGTGTTAATATCTGTTGTTGATAGATTCATGGAGTTGGGTGTAGTCACTGTCAGCCACGTCCAGGGCCAAATCGTCTTCCAAACTAACAGCGTCTGTAGATTCCAACAGATCTCTTGAATTGCTATCTGTTTCTGGTACAATGTTTCCTTCTGTTTTTCGGGGTTTCAAAATTACTATTAAGAATTTCATGGACTCAAAATATGGCCACGTGCCTGTATACTTCGGCTCGTTGTCGGCGTCAGCCCGAAAACGAGGCTTCGGAATTTTTTTTTAATTATTTTATAAATGTGTCTCTCAAATTTTTCCATGTTTTCTTCGGCATTTCACCTAAAAAAATGAAATGAATAATTAATTAATATATTTAAATTATTTCAGGTATTTAGCCACGGGCATACAGTTCCGGCAACTCGCTTACTCGTTCAGAATTTCAAAATCTGCTATTTCCACAATCGTACCACAAGTTTGCAAAGCTATATGGACACAATTAGTTACGAAGCATATGCCCGAGCCTTGGCCATCTTAGCGGTCAGTCGCCGTAGAGTCTACATTACCTGAGGATGCCTCGTGTAGAGGCGAAACACGTGTCGTATAGTCGTCGATGGTGTGTCTTACCTGGAATAGTGATGTGTGTCTGTTCCTAGTATTTACAGAATGAATATCACTTGTTTTCGAAAAACTACTTTTATTTTTGTGCACGTACATTACATTTTGATAAATGTATTGAGAGGCCAGAGTTAATATAATAATTTCCTTAAATTTTTGTCTCAGTGACTCTTTTGGTTTTAAATTATATATTGCTCTAATGGCCCTCTTCTGTAAAATAAATATAATTTCAGTGTCAGTCGCGTGTCCCCATAGCAAAATACCATACGACATAATGCTATGGAAATAACTAAAGTAAACTATTCTAGCTGTTTCAACACTGGTAAGAGTTCTAATCTTTTTTACAGCATATGCTGCAGAACTAAGTCTGCTAGCTAGTTTTGATATATGGGGGAGCCATTGAAGCTTTGCGTGTAGTGTGATTCCAGGAAAAATGGTGGTATCAAAAAGACTCACTTCCTCCCCATTTAAAATTACATTAGTATTGACATGTTTAACATTAGGAGTTACGAATTTTATACATTTAGTTTTAGTTCCATTCAAATGCAAATTATTAACATTAAACCAATTGACTAACTTAGCTATAGAATTATTTACTTTGTCGTAATTTAGTAACTGTCGTTTTAATTTGAAAATTAATGAGGTATCATCAGCAAATAATACTATATCATGGTTATCCCCTACTATGTAAGGTAAGTCATTAATACAGGTGTCCGGTGGCTATTTTACATTTCAAAGGATGATATAAAAATAAAGACAAAAGGTTTTTAAATTATTTTTAGTCTCATAAAAAGAACATTAATGTGAGTTTCATTTTTTTTAAATAACCTTTTCAAAATGTCAACCTTCTTAGCGCAAACACTCTTCCCATCTCACACGCATATTTTCGAAAACACGTTTACAGAGATCGCTAGAAATATTCAAAACTTGGGTCCCGATATTTTCTTTCAGTTGAGCAGTGGTGGCCGGTTGGTTTTGGTAAACGATGCTCTTCAGGTAGCCCCATAAAAAAGTCACATGGACTCAGGTTGAGCGATCGTGCTGGCCAGGGGATGTCACCGTACCGAGAGATGATTTTTCCTGGGAACAATTCCCTTACAACATTCATGGAGATATGTGCGGTATGAGCGGTGGTGCCATCTTGTTGAAACCAGCTGTTTCTGTTAGCAATAGAACTGTTGCGTAGTTCGTCTCTCAAAAAAATGTTGACCATCTCACAATATCTTTCGGAATTAACATATATTGCCTGACCACGACTGTCTTCAAAAAAATAAGGACCAAGAATTCCTTTCCCTGATATACCAAACTGTTACCTTATCTGTATGCAATGGTTCTTGATGCAATTCTTTTGGATTCTCAGAACTCCAGTAACGGTAATTTTGTTTGTTTACATAACCGCCTAAATGAAAATGGGCTTCGTCACTATAAAAAATGTTCAGCAGTCGTGTTTCCGTACAGAAAGTTGTTAACATTCATTCGGCATAAAATAACCTTGCTTAGTAATCATTTTCATTAAGTTTTTAGGTTATTTGAATTTTATACGGATGAAACTTGAGCTTTTTTTTGATTATTTCGTGCAATGTTGATCTGGCAATACCTAAAGATTCTGAAGGTGCTCTTAGTGACATCCGTGGATTTTGCAAAATTTCACTCACACGTTGAATGGTTTTTGCAGTCGATACAGATGCAACTGGACCTTGGCGACGCAAGTTTACAGCTGAGCCTGAAGCACGAAAGTTTGCTACCCAATAACGAATTAAAGTTTTTGAAGGTACATCACTTATTCGTGGAAGATTAAAATGATTACGGAATTTCCGGTGCGCCGCAATCAGCGAAAAATTTACTTGTTAAATATGCCTCGATCACGAAAGCGCGCTCCTCTTCCAACCAACGCGGCATGACGACTAAAAAAACTCACGACGCTGACGAATCTAACCCCGCACCCCATGCCCCTCCAGCTGTTTGCGTTCTTAAGTAACAACACTTTGAAATTTGAAAATAGCCACCGGACACCCGGTATATACAAGAAAAAGAAAGGGGCCGAGAATTGAGCCCTGAGGCACGCCCATTTGTACAATCGACCCGGAAGAACTCATACTATTAATGACAACTTTTTGCGTTCTGTCACTTAAATACGAAATAATTAATTTAAGAGCATCGCTTCTTACACCGTAGTGTTGAAGTTTCCTGATTAATGTTTCATGGTGAACACAATCAAAGGCTTTGCATAGGTCACAGAATACACCCAAAGCATCCTGAGAATTCTCTCATGCATTAAATATATATATTCAATTAGCTCAACACCAGCATCAGTTGTCGAGCGACCCCTTGTGAAACCAAATTGATTTTTATGAAGTAAATTATTTACGAGGGTGGATTGAAAAGTACTCGGCCTAACCAAGAAAATAAACACATACTAAATCAGTTATATTTTTATTTTTCTACATAATCACCATCAAGTTCAATACACTTTTGCCACCTCCCCTTCCAAGCATTTAGACCGTTGAAAAAAAATGATTCTTCCTTAGAGTCAAAATATGCGTCTACAGCTGCTTTGACCTCGTCGTTTGTCGAAAATCTTTGACTTCCCAAGTGCTTTTTTAGGTTAGGGAACAGAAAGAAGTCTGATGGTGCCAGATCAGGTGAATACGGCGGATGCGGTAACAGTTCAAAGCCACAGTTGTGAATTTCAGCCATTGACTGTACTGACGTGTGAACACGGGCGTTATCTTGATGAAACAGGACTTTTCTTCTGAGCATTACTCGACGTTTTTCTTTTATTTCCTCTCGTAAACGACGTAGTAAGGTGCAGTAGTAATCAGAGTTTATAGTCTGATGCCTTTCAAGATAATCAATCATAATCACACCTTTCGAGTCCCAGAATACTGAAGCCATCACCTTATTTGCCGACAAAATCGACTTAGCCTTTTTTAGGGGTGGTGAACCAGGTCTTCTCCACTGTTTTGATTGTTGTTTTGTTTCCGGTGTACAGTAATGAACCCATGTTTCGTCCATAGTAACAAAACGATTCAAAAAATCATCTGCATCGGCTTCAAATAACGCCAAACAGTCGCGTGAAATAGTCAATCGCGTCCTTTTTTGTTCAACTGAAAGCAGTCGCGGAACCCACCTCGCAGACACCTTGTGGAAACCCAACTCGTTGACAATGATGTTTTGAGTTCGTTCATAAGAGATGCCTATAATCTCGGCTTTCTCTCTAATTTTTAATCTGCGGTCTCCCATTATTAAATCAAGTACTTTTTTTAATATTTTCGTCAGTAGTTGACGTCGAAGGCCTTCCAGAGCGGGGTTCATCTTTCACACCCTCTCTACCACGCTTAAATTCTGCTATCCATTTTTTGACGGATGAATATGACAGAGCACAATCGCCTAATGTACTGACCATGTCATCATGGATGGCTTTTGATGATAGCCCCTTCTTATGGAGGTACTTAATGACGGCACGCTGCTCGATTTGCTCCATTCGCGGAAATTATGTCCGATTACTTTGTTAATAAATTTATAAAATCACAACTAATTATCGCACACGTTTCGAACTTCACACAATGAACTAGTCTGAACTGAACTAAATAATGTGGGTAGATTTGATTTTTAGAATTGAATGGATCTGTGTTAGGCCGAGTACTTTTCAATCCACCTAGGTACATTAAAAAAATTAACATTTGATCAAGAATATTTTTTTCAAAAATTTTACTAAGTGTTGGCAGTACAGAAATAGGTCTAAAAGGGGAACGCCCACTGTTCATAGACACTTCGGACATGGGTGCCCACATATAAAAGCATATGGAAATGTAAATATGCAATTAAAATAATGAAATTGTTGAGGAATTGGTTTAAAAAAAGTCGGGATTTTTATGTATAAATGTTTTTATTTTCACAAATACAGTTTTAACGACTACTTTTACCAATTTAATTGCTTTTAATTTCTTTAACTTTTAATTCCCGACGTTTCTGGTGCTTTATATCACCCATGGTCACGGGGGACTGAGGTGACTGCCATCCCAATGCCAATCTACGCAGATTAAACTTACTCTATCTTTAAGTCTTGCAGTGGTATGCTTGGGTTTAGTTTTAATTTTATTAATTATAGTGTACCAAGCTGGTGGTAGTACCCAACCGCCTTCTCTATTGAAATTAGGATGTTTTTTAATTTCAATAGCCTCACATATCATCTTTGGTAGGAATTAAGGTTCTTTTGTTAGGATTTGTGGTCTATCAAATCTGGTGTATTTTTATCTGGTTGGGGTGACACCCTTGACATTCGGTAGCACAGCAGACATACGCTCAACTGCGGTCGGCTTCACTCGGTCACTGTGACGTAGACGCGGGACCTGAAGCTTGATTTTGTGCAGAACCTGCTTGACGTGCTGAAGCTTCGCGGCCAGGTGCTTGCTTTCACAGATCCCATATGCTCTCTGTAACAAAGATTTGCTCATGGTAACTAACTGTGAAGGATGATGGTGAGATTCACGGCTTAAATATCAGTTTGTATGGGTCTTTTTTCTATACACAGTGT